TCGGCTCCCCTTGTCTCCCATGGCATGTCTGGATGCTGGGCTGAGATGATTTTGCTTTGTCTCCCTTTGTCTCCCCTTGTCTCCCATGGCGTGTCTGGATGCTGGGCGGAGATTTGGCGCCAGGAATGGATCGGCCAAAGAAGACAACTCCGACTGCCGCTGCTGTTTGGGGTCGATGCTGGTGTAGTTGAATCACATCTTTTGCAATTCGAACCAAATTGCCGCAGGTACCCCCAAGAATGGGATCATGTACACCCGTAACCTCGGAGTCGGCTCTGGTCCGGCGCCGACGCCTCACCGGGTCGGGCGTCAGGACTTGGTGATTCCTGGGCACACGGCCTCGTGGCCAACGATGGGGGGGAATTGGGAAAGTTTGCAGTGCGAGTTTTTACTGTTGCCATGTGCAATGTGGGAGTTCTCGGTACGCATGTGGTGCCTAGCGAACTGCCATGCTAAAGTCCGAACCGCAGGGTGTTGTTCTCAATCCACCCAGTGGCCCAGTGAGTGAGTTTGATCCATTCACGCGAGGCTCGGGCCATTGGACAGTGAGATCCCAAGTCATAGACAGGTCTTGTGGACGGACATCAAGACGATTCACGCTGCAAGCACTCCAATCGGTGACCTCAGGGTATGCGGTTTGAGACTCGCCGTGGATGCCGTAGATTCGCAACCGACCCCCCTGGAACGTAGGATTCGAGCAGCGCTGGAGATTCCCGAAGCCATGGAAGGGCATGAAACGTCCTCCAACTGCCTGACAATAGCCTGAGTGTACCAACTGGTCAGACCGCACGAGATTCTGGAACTTATAGCTGGCAGTGCCAAGCTTTTTTTGATGCATTTCAGGGAGAGGAATCCATCCAAAGTCTCAATGCTAGAGTAATCTAGAGTAGCTGATGTGACTAAAGTCCCCCCAGAAGATTATATTTATTCTTATGGGTCACCTTGGTCCGGCTGTTGCCATACCGCCATACTGGTGGATAGGGCAGGGGAGCTAGATACCTTTGGAACAACCCAAGATTGTCATGGGCGGGTTGACCAGGGGGTTGACCCATTTTTCCCGAACCCCTCGCCCGCCTCGCTCGGCCGCCATACCCTGAGGACTTCTTCCGTGCTCGGCGGATGGCATCCTTCAACCTGCCCAGTGAGCAACGTAGCCTGCTCTTCAACTTTCATGGCAGGGACCCCCAGAGCCAATAAACGCCCTGACACCGGCGGCCGAAGCGAAAAGAGACACTCTGTGCTGGAGTTATAGCGGATTGTTGAGAGAGCAAGTGCTGAACTGAAAGGAACGTTGGCCTTTTTCTTGTTTGCGTGTTTGAAATCCGTGGTGGTCGCCAGCAAGCACCTAGTGCTGGACGCTAACCCCCGCCCAGACAACAAAGCAAAGAACCCTTTTCTTGGGAAATTATGAGCGTTTGCCGAGACGTCGTGTTAACCAAGAAGACATGATTCAACAAGGTTATTGCTTCTGAAGGACCTATCACTTTTCCAGGCCCCAGCCTCACAACATATAACTTATCACATAACGATGATAACATAGCTGCTTGAACGCCTGAGGTCGTCATCCGGGGCTCAACGACTTGTACAAGAAGAATTTTGTGCGTGGCAACATCATGCGGGTTGGCTGCTCAGCAATGGGCCAACCTTCAGCACAGGGGTCAGGGTCAGCGTAATTATATACTAATACATTGCGGAAGGGGGGTCGCCCCGGCGCGTTTCTCGGAGGAGCTTACAAGTCCTTTGTCAAGTACTTTGATGACGCCCATCGCTGGTTAAGGAGTCCTACGGTGGAACAATCCATTTGTATTATTGGCCAACTAACATGCATGAAGGCTTATATATACATACATTTTACACCGGCTTTGCTGTACAATTCTAGTTTGGTTTGAAGGTGAATGCTCTTGCAACGCTATTGACATGTAAATCCTCTGTGTGTGTGTTATGCAGTTGTGCACTACATGTCCAGGTTTCAACCATGTGTCAAGTGTTTCCTTGCAGTGGCTTCAGAGTAAAGCACTACTGCAGGGGTGCAGCGTATGGGCATGCAGAGAACCATGCCTAGGAAAGACCAACTGCAATCAAACATATCAATCATCAGCGGCAACTTAGGACTGCTCGGAGGGCAAGGACCAAGAAATCATTGAGGAGGGAGGTGTAAGGGTTGATGGAAGTATAAAGTATATGCCGAAGACATGCATTTGGACATATCTGGACCCTGACAAGTATGAGTACGCTAGACTCTAGACATTGCTGAGTCCTCAAAAAATCTTTCGCTGGTTTTCGTCGTCCGGTACAAAGCGAGGGTCCACTGCTTCGACACCCCTTAAAAAATGTAAAATATGTGGACAGGTCCATTCTGCGATCTTCTTTCCTGCTACATTCCTGTCAGCGAGCTTTACAGTTAAGATGTCTTGCCACTCTCTCCGGCCAGTGATCCCCTCTCCTGACCGGCTCCCCGACCGGCTCCGGGCCGCGCGCGGAGCGCGCCGCGCCGCGCCGCTGGGTCAGGTCTTCGATGGTCTGGACGGGGTCAGCGTGGGAGGCTTCACGGACGACTACTTCGAGCGTCCGAGGTCTCAGGACGGGTCGACCGGAGGCCGACGGGTCGACCGTTTGTTTCCGGGCGCCGCAGAAACCGAGTTGCCCAAAAGCAGCTCCAATGGGCACGTGTTCGAGAAATAGGGGTAAACATGGGGTAAACAACTATAATCTATGTACTATACTACTATATATGCGTTTCTATTTTGACGGGATAGTATTTTGTTCATTGATTCATTGCTCACACTGTGCATTGGTTCAAAAAGACCGCAACCTCGTGCTTCGCGCCGCACTCCGACGCCATGGGCTGCGTGTCCTCCACTGCGCATCCCTACACACCACTGTCGGAGTCAATGGTGGACTTCGGCGGTGTGAAGCACAAGGGGCCGAAGATGCTTGGAGGGTAAAGAAACCCTAGGGCTCCAATCCAGCTACCTCCTGAGTAGGGGTATATAGGGGTTGTGTTTTTTGGCATCAAAGTACTTGAACTCCGGAGGTGCTTGGAGTTCCAAGGGATTCTGCTTGGAGTTCCAAGGGATTCTGGTCCTTTTTTTGGTTTTTGTGAGGTCTAGACATTTTTGTGTTCAATCGATTGCTACAGTGGGCAATAGTGGAGCACCTCCATAGTCGTCTGAACACCAACCAGGGATCAGAGTAGAGAGCATGATGACATGGCCATGCAACAAAGTCGCTATCCTTTTCGTGGCGGGAGGTCCGACCATTTTGGAGGTCTGCATATGGGCTCTGCATCTGGATGGTTTGGGTATCTTTGAGCTGATCTTGGTAGGTAAGGTCGTCTACCCTTAGTCGACCACCTTTCCTGCAATCACTCGCTTTTGTTGTCCACCTATTTTGGGTGCCGTTTGAGCTCCTACCTCTGCTTCATGATGCTTCATGTCTATTTATTAAATTGGAACATTTGTGTCAAATGCGTGCGCGGGTCGATCGTGGGTGTTCCGGAGTCTTCTCCAGCATGCCCGAATCGGGCACTCCACCTGTCTTCCCTCCAAGTGACCTAGGGCATTCCACCCGTATCTCCATAAACCGCAAGAACTTGGTCCCCTCATGTCAACCTCTCTGACGTTTCTCTTCGAAGCGAGACGACCGGTGCCCAACCCGGTGCCCGGTGCCCGGCCACGCCGGCGCCGGTCCTAGGGTGCCCAACGATCTGATAGACCTCTTGGAGCGTCATCGTGGCGCACGCGAGCTGCCCATGTCCTCGGTGTCGTCTTGGGGAACAGGTGGTGGCCTTGTGTTTCCCGAGGCGCTGAGAGCCCTTGTTCGGTCCATTTGGGGTCTCCTTCTTGTGATGGTAAGATGTGTATGGTGGCATATGGTGGCTGAGGAATTTGTTTTAAAGGTTTTGTCATTTGTTGGTGGTGATGGGGCGTTGTTCGGTGGATGTGTCCTCAGAGTTGTTGAAAAGGCTCCTTCCTTTACTCACTCACATGTATGTATTAATTTATATGTGCTTGTGTGTTTTCACAGTGAAGAAGCATCCTTACTTTCAACATGGACAGGTTCATGGGTGTCGGTGTCTCAGTGGCTCTGTTTGTCGAGGGCAGGGTAGTCTTGTACCCCGCAGTTGTTGTGTCCTAGCGGACTTTGTTGACGGATGTGGAGCAATTTAAGAGAACGCATAGCTTCCCTCCTGTTGAAACTTCTTCTGCGACAAAGTACACCAAGGACCCCTACATAAAGACCTAGGACAGTAGAATTGTTACTAGCAGTAAGGTCAGGAGCTACTAGTAGCTTCTTGCTCCTAGTAGCGATGCCCCTTGTTCTAGTAGTTTCTTATAACTAGTAGTAATGCCAGGAACTACTAGTAGCTTCTTTCTCCTAGTAGCGATGCCCTTTGTTCCTAGTAGCCCTTTGTTCCTAGTAGCTTCTTGTTACTAGTAGTAAAGTGTAGTAGTGCCAGGAGCTACTAGTAGCTTCTTTCTCCATGTAGCGATGCCCTTTGTTCCTAGTAGCTTCTTGTTACTAGTAGCAATGTAGTAATGCCAGGACTTACTAGTAGCTTCTTGCTCTTAGTAGGGATTCCCTTTGTTTCTAGTAGCTTCTTGTTACTAGTAGTAATGCCAGGAGCTACTAGTAGTTTCTGGTTACCCATGGAACCGGTGTTTGACGTTTGATTGGTGTCGCTCCTGAGTTCACCGACTCGACCTCGATGTATGGCGTTGTGACCTACAAAGACACTGGTTGAAGACATGAATGCACTTTCTCTTGGAGAACTTCGACCGTTGGACCCTTGTACAGACCTTAGAATGCCATCATTTGCTGGCAAAGTCTCTCAGCAAGCCGCTTGTACAGCCTAGACTTAGCAGCTTTTTTAGTTCTGACTGATGGCATCCAATCCCGACCAGCAACACAGTTGCCAAAAGAGCAGACTACTGCAGCACAACTATCATCATCACTGAATTCAAGAACCAAAGAACCATTGCAGTGGCTGTTTAGTTGTGTTTAGTTGCAGCGCTTCTTTTACTAGTTAGAGGTATCTCGGTATCTCACAGATTCTGATTCTTTTCAGCGTTCTCCTAAGTTCTCCTCTATATCATTCTGCCAGGGCTGACCAAGTCCCGCCTTGTCCAGCGAGCACATGGTCCGTTTTGGGGCAGAGGGTAGTCGGTGGTGTTTTTGTTCCCATCAAATCAAAGACGGACGAGTGTACATCTAGAGACTTCTACAATTTTACAATGGACCATGGAGAAAAAACGGTGTTTCTTGGCACCAATCTCTGAATCAGCGCCGTGATCACACCGAAATCAGCGGCTCCAAACTCTGGATTGCCTGCGCCCACTTGCCGCAGAGGGTTCTCCATGGGCTGTGGCAACTCTGCGCCGGCGAGTGAGCAGCCGCGTGTGGAACGAGCCATGGCGGTGGGCAAGACGAACACCTCGAAAGCTGTATCCACAGGATCCACGGCATCTACAGCATCGGCATCCACAGCATCGAGCAATGGTGTCGAGCAGCGCTGAAATCGGAACGGGCCAAGAGACTGTTTCCGATCACATGTTGCTTGGATGTGCCATGACATGCAGTCTGTGCCCTCGAGTTGTAGCCCCAAAAAGGACATTTAGTAAAATGTAGTAATTTATATTATTATATATACATGTATATTAGTAGTAATTAGTTAGTTTTGAAGATCGACACATTTTTTTTTTCAGTACTTTGAGGCTTCGAGCCTTAAAGGTGAAGAAAGTTCGTCGTTTGTTGCGACGAGTTGCGAACACATCAGAAGGGTCAGAAGATTGACGCACATTGACACCTGTGATAGATAGACATTTGCTCCTTGCTTTGATTTGTTGAGCCAGCGATGATTGATAGTATTGCCTCAGGGTACTCGCAAACTGGAGGATCTGTAATTACCTTGGAGAAAAACTCGGGACACTGACTGTTAATTTTCATGGGTCCAGAAATGGAAGCTGTCTAATGAAGCAATAGCACAGGCCAGCATCGAAACCGTGTGGTTCCAGAACTATCTATATATGTAATTAGTTACTCGTACCAGCAGTTCTGAGGTCGTGAGAGGAGAATGGACACCGTCGCCTCCAATAGGCCCCGCTTTGGAACTTCTCGTGTATGATTACATGCAAACCTAGTAATTAGCTTCTTGTTACTAGAAGCGATGGCCTCCACCTAATACCTTATATATATATATAACTTTATATATGAGCGTCTGCCAAAACGTACTGTCAAGTAGAGGACATGATTCAGCAAGGTTTTAGTCACAATGTCAATATAGCAGATCATATCATATCCAAAAGCTGCGGACATATGATTACAGTATCGCTTTTCATGGGGTCCTATCGCTTTTACAGGTTTTAGTGCAGTTCCTGAAACCCACCACCGCTCTTTATGAAATTTGTCGCACGTTTTGGTGGTTAGTCTCCGCTTTGTGTTATCCCAGCTAATTAGTGTCAGTTCTTGGGCCCCAGTCCTGAGTGAGTATTGAGTATGTCACTTTATGTCATTTTTCAGTGATTAGTTGAGGTACAGCTTGCTCTGACCCGAGTGGATTGCAGTGACCTGGGACCTCGTTTTGATCCAGGAACTTCCGATTTCCACTCTGAGCGGAAAACTTGCATAACCCAGACAAATTTGGCAGCAGCTTTAGCTCTGTCCGAGGATGGCTGACCAACAGAAGGGCTTGCAAAAGGCGCAGAGCGAACTGCAGAGTGGTAGGCGTCCCTCTCGAGGAACCGAACAGAGGAATCAACACAGGGCTGTTTTGTGCTGACTCAGTGATGAAGTTATACCATGGATATCCGCAAACTCTGGAGATTCTATTTTTCCTGGTGTCCGATTTTTCATTTTCGTGCGCCAAGAACCCAATTTCTCAGTTGACAGAATGCAACACAAGGAGGCGACTAGAAGATCCACCATACTTGATGGCCTGACTAGGGAGCTCTGGCTGGTTTGGACCGACAGTCCTATGTTTCACATTCAATTCATCATGGGCCGTCCGACAAAGAAATTCTTTGCAAAGCATGCTTGCAGAGCAGGGGCAGTTGATTCAACAGGAACATGATGTCCATGTTCACGTGTGTTGAACTGTCAAACATGGGGGAGGGATTTTGAGTCTGCTCACTCCGCCTTCCTGAGACTCTCCTTCGCTTTGGGTCCAGGTTGATCCAGATAATGGATGGGGATGTCTATACATGTTATAAGCTATTATAAGTCATGTATAAGTTGTAGCATGCTGGGACAGGCTGAGGCGTCTTCATCGCATCACT